ATGTATGTATACATGTATGTATGTCATGTGTGTCATGTGTGTCATGTGTGTTATGTGTGTCATGTGTGTCTTGTGTGTCTTGTATGTCATGTAAGTATGTATATATGTACGTCACGTATGTCATGTCATGTATGTATGTATGTATGTATGTATGTACGTATGTTTTATAGAACCAGTCTTCTGCGTCTACATCTATACCTGCACCAATACCTATGTCCATCTCCATATCTATATGCAGTTCTATTTCTGTTTCTATACCTGTATCAATGTCTACTTCCATGTTTATGTCTATGTCCATATCTATACCTGTATCTATACCTATATCTATAGCGATATCTGTATCAGTATCTATATCCAGAGCTGTATCTATCTTTATATCGATATCGATATCTGTGTCTATATCCATATCTATCCGTATCCATATCTATCTTTGTGTGTGTGTGTCTCTCTCTCTCTCTGTCTATGTATATGTATGCATATCCACCCACATTATATATATATATATATAATATAGGTATGCATATGTATATGCATATGTATATGTATATGCATATGTATATGCATATGCATATGTATATGTATATGTATATACACGTACACACACGAATGGCGTGTATAGACACATTTATGTGTGTATATGCATATATATACACATACATTTACGCACAGCTAGAGTATAAAAAACTTACCCCACAGCTGCAAGTATTCTGTGTAGATAGGCCCGACAGGATTCGCAAAAGAGGATCCTGAGTTCGCGCTTTCAAGAAGCGGGACGGACAAAAACGAGTGTTTTTGCGGTCAAGGCGGATCACAGATTGCAGGGGCATACTACGCATTTGGTTTACACAAGGGTTTGGGAGCTGCTCGGCCGATCACCCAAGAGTGACTTTCTGCTGAATGCAGCTTCAAAACACAACATCATCCCTGGCGATGCCGTGAAGAACGAGCGCTTCCACTTTGCCATCATCACTCCGGTGATCCACTACTGCATGGGCGGTCTCCTCATTGACACCTGCGGTGTTGCGAGTAATCCACTTGCTGAGACAGATGTGGCCACATTCGTGGGCAGAAGTCGCTACCTACGGTCTGGCGCCGTTTTGCTTGTTGTGATGCACTGTTTTCCAGGTTGGAAACTCTCCGCGTCACTTTCGTGATGGATTGAATGTCTTCCGTGTGACCGCATCGCAGAGTCCTGCTGACCGAGGGCTGGAGCATGCCAAGGAGGTGACCCCCCGAGGGCCCCTGGTGGTGAGCGCTTCCAACCAGGCGCCAAAAAGCCGAGCTCTCGCTCTCTTTGTGGGCCTGTGAACGCGCTTCGCTCCGTCAGCTTGACCGAGCCGGGCAGTTGGGTCGGAGGGCTGAGGGTTTCCTGGCCAGCTACAAGGGGCCTCGAGGTGCGGAAGCTAGGTAAACCACCTTTTGGCATCGCCAGTGCTGCAGGACCTGCTTCAGTGGCTTAGCAGATGCTGGCTGTCCATGCAAGAACCCAGCTCTTGGCCGTGGTTTCGTCCTTCGTTTCGCTTTGTCAAGCTGTGGGGACCGGGCTGAAGGTTCGGAGAGTCCGACCAGCACGAAGAATGGGCCATGAAACTTGCTGTTGTTCTTGCTTGCATCTGTATTCTGGGTGCGAAGCGTGGACACGCACAGCAATCGCCGCTTCCAGCAGGCTAGCACCCAGACGGCCTTTGAGCTGCAGCTCGACCCACTGCTTTGCGTGGTGGATCCGGCAGATCAGCCGCTACAAACTTCAGATGTTGGCTGCCAAAGCGGAGCGAGCAGCAGCACTGCCTTTCCAGCAGCAGTGCTCCACCAACAACACCACCACGCTCAAGCTTTGCTTGCCAACCTTCCCCCCCTCACAGCAGCACCTCAACCTCAACCCAACACCGATCCAACATCTGATCCAACCGGCACCCCCGTTCAAACCAACATCACCTTTCCAACAGCGTTGGAGTGGCAGTTACACCTCCTCCATGACCTTCAGGGCCACGTACCGATTGGCACTTCAGATGCAGCCGTGCACTGCGACTTGGATCCCACCTTAATACCCGAACTCCAGCACGCAATGGAGGAGTGGGAGCAGCGACATATGGAGGCTGAAGACACTGACGTGTGACATCATCACGTGCAGGTGCTCCCCAGATGAGCTGCGAGCTTCCTCGCGTGCGGTGGATATTGGTGTCGATTAGAATCTCGACCCTGAAGGAAAGCCAAAAAATCCTTCAGCCCACCTAGTTGAGCCTCGAAGGATTCACAGAAATCCTTCAAGACCCCGCCCAGGATGCCGGAAAATCCTTCAGTCCGTCGCTGTGATGTGCTTTGCACAGGGTTCGTGGTTGAGCGTGGCAAGTGCTGTAAGAAGGGCCCAGCATCAGCGCGAGACATTTGTTCAAGCAAGGTGAGTCGCATTCAGCAGTATACTGTTCCGATATGCTCTTGGTACGGTTGGCTTTGTTCATGGACGTAGCTCGGGAAGCGCTCCATGTCTTTGTGATTCTCTGAACACTTGATGGTGTCGGGTGTGGTTGCCATCTAGAGGTGTTGCTATGCAACAAGGCGGGTGCGAAAGTTTGGAGCTTTTGTCGCGACCCCAGTTTTCGACTTTAGTTGGCCGGTTCTCAAGGCGTATGTTGAGAGTGATCCGCATTGCATGGTGGAGGTATGCATGGTATCATGGGACATGCAACTGCGATTGACATGTTAGGCGCAGATGTTTAGAACTCATATGGAGGACACGAGCTCGTTCACCTCGAGTGCAGCCGTTCTTACAAGAGGGTTGCAAGAGACCAGCGGCTAGCAAGGCTTGTGTACGACGATGTGCTGGTTCCTTGTTTTCTCACTCCGGAAATTGGCTCGGAAAAGCCGGAAGTTGTCATCGAGCAAGCAGGCAAACATGGTCTCTTCGAAGCAGGCCTGCTAGTGCCCCAGTGCCTAGTGCGCAAAGCTTGGCGAACTGACTCCACGAATTTCACGACAAAGTAAAGACATGCCAGTACCGGATGCAGACAGCACCACCTGCATCCTATCCGGGAATTTGGCACAAACGCTTGTCCGACACATGTCATGAACGAATTTACTGAGCTATGTCAAGCCGTTTCCCGCAGCTGAACAACGGGCCATTCAAGGCGTCAACTCCCTGTAGAGTGCAGGGATAAAAGTGTCTGAAGAGAGAGCTGCAAGATGAGCTTCGGCATGCGGCAATGGCATCGGCATCTTTTGCTCAGCGCGGGCATGCTGATGCTGGTTTACGTGCGGCAGGATGCACGAGTGCACGCATGAGACACATTCCGAACCACAATTACGTGATTTTGCCAAGTAATGCCGAGGAGACCATGTTCCTGATGGTTTCGCCTTCTGGCAGGGATCGCGTGATCTTAAGGCAAGGCGGCAAGGCACGGCGTCAGAGAGTGAAGCTGGCAGCCGCCTGTCGCAGGGCACGGATACCACCTGAAGCTGATCCTAGCATTCCGCCGGATGCTCTGAGCATGCATCACGCTTGCTCGCAAGGCTGCTCAGCCAGCTTTCCGCTTGACCTGGCCCTAGCTTCTCTTCCGACCGAGGTGGCATCCACTCATGAGGAAGGGCAGGCCCATGCCCAAACGCTATGCGGTTTGCATCTGTTCGCATGATCTGCCTTGATATGTCGTCGAAGCGCGTGTCGAGTAAAGCGTTTCAATCTGTGCAAGGCCGCATGGCCCCATCAGGCTGCCTGCCTCATTCGAGGCAATTTTCCGGGTGCCTGCTAGCAGTGAGAGGCAGATGTGTCAAATGCACCGACGTGGAGGCTCTCCGATCACTCCGAGTATTCAAGGCACCCAGGCGCACTTCTCTCAAAGCAGCGGGCCGAAGTTGCAACATCAGGATCTGCACACGGGCGTCTTGCCAGGTTGAATGCCGATTTGTTCCCAGAGCGTGTTGTTCAGAAGGCGAGTTGAATTCGACATAGGTTGCCGGCAAGTGTCAGTGCATGCAGTGACAGGGAACCCACTTCTCAGTCGAGGACAGCAGTGGATTGTCGAAGCAGGGCTTTCGTCACCGTGTCGCCGCACACGATGTCAGCCGCACGCTGGAGGAAGTGGCGTACGATGGGCAGGTCAGAGGGCAGCCGGTGCCTTGTCAGCAACGTCTGTCCGGCATCGTGAGTTTTGACATACTGCGCCTTCATACGCTCCACACACAGCCAATCAATGATCCTAGACTAATGTATGTGCACCTCTTGCTCAGGTTTTCTTCCTGAAGCCGAAGAGGGTAGGAAGCTCAGCAGATCCGTGCACCCCCCAGTGCCTGGCAGAGTAGACATTCTGGCAGGTCTTCTACAAGGCCAACCGAAATCTTCCCGATGATGGGGAGGTTCATCGTGAGATGCAGCATGTTACGGTCTGTATGCCGTGTCGCAAAAGGACTACGGTGAGGGAGGTTGGCTGTGTGGCGTTGGCACGGAGAAGGGCGCCTGGTTCACGAGGAGATCACGGTATCAGTGCCCGCCCACCTGGGATTTTTGACAAGTGGAATTCGTTTGAGTTCGATTGCATGCCACTGCGCTACATCAGCAGCATGTGTGTGCATAATGACACATGTAGATGTGCATGGCTGGATGCATGGACAGATAGATGGGAGGGACGGACGGAGATATGGATGGATGGATGGATGGATGGATGGATGGATGGATGGATGGATGGGTTGCATCGCTCTGCATTGTATTGCATTGTCCCGTATCGCATAGCATCGTATGGTATTGTATGGTAAGGTATGGTATTGCATGGCATGGTATGGTATGGCATGGTATTCTGTCGCCTCGTACCGTATTGTCTTGTACGTTTCACCATATGTATGTGCATTCATTCAAACAGATGCACGCACACAGAGTTTACATCTGTTGGTGCATGCCTTCATCCTTGTCCGTACAGGGTTGTTCATGTGCAAAGCGAGTGCTGTGCTTTACTAGCAAGCAGCAAGCAGCAAGGCGAAACTAGAGCAAGCTTCAAGAACTACAAAAATCCAAGCTTGTGGGCAGTGAACGGCCAAACATCAAGACACGCTAAAGCACTCGTGTGCTTGACGGATGTCAAGCCGCGCTTCGGGGAGGGAGGGTGCAGCGACGCTGGCTTCGTGTTGTGACAAATTTCCAGCAATTTGCACAGCAGCTGCAGGAAGCTGGTGAGGCGGCTGAAGTTCTAGCCTCAAGCAAAAGGGGCTTTGCTTCTCTGCCAGTATATATGGCAAAGACGCATGCGGTGACGAAGCCCAGCGTGGTGTGACTGCTCGATGCAATTGCCAAATGCTTCGGCTGACAGCTGCGGGGGGCAATGCAAGCAAGGAATGCAACAAGTTTTACATTTCCCTCGTGATCCACAATCACTAGGTTAACTTCTCATGTAAACATGACAGCAGCATCAGCAGCATACGCTGATCATCTCCGGGCGTTTCTGCCATATCGCAATGGACGCTGTTGCTTCGACCTGAGACCGGCTTTGTGCCGATAGCCAGAAGAGACCCCTCGAAAGCCGAAGAACCGATGAGACTGCCCGGCCTGTGCAGCTTCCAGGTTTTCAAGAATCGCGAGCGCCAGCGCGTCATTCTGCAGGATTTTCGGTGGGAGTGGCTGGGTGCTGGCTCTTGTTCCTTGAGCACGGCTCTATATATTGCGCTTGTGGAGAGGTTGTTGCCTGCGGCCGAGTTGGCTCAAGGACTTCATAGCCTTGTTTCGTTCGGCCGACATCGTGCCACGGACTCGACACATCGATGCTGAACTGCTCGTCAGCGCAATGTGGCGTTGGTGCATCAGGAGGTAGCAAAGTGAGTTTCTCAGGTCGGAATCATGGCCATGGCTGCCATGGTTCGCAGGAGCCGTGCTCAGATCAGAGTACGGTGATTTAAACAGTGTGAGCTCTGCGAAGCTACTTTGATTGATTCGATGGTAGTCTATGTAGTTACATGGCATCAAGCTGCGGTCGTGCCTTGTTTGCAGGTCCTTGGGGCACCGCTTCCCGGTTCGCAGCTTTGCTGCCATGGCGGACTCCTCAGTTAGCTGATCCACGCCTCGGGCCCCCGCCCGTCCCCACGGACACCCAATGCCACAAGGCTCAGCCTCAGACGTTCGCCATCTACCGTGCCTTGCCAAGCAGTTAATCTGGTGGCCAGTAGCCGGGGTTTGTGCTCGGCTATATGCTGAGGCTATGATCCAGACCAGCAGGCCAAGCCTTTCCTGCAGGAGCTGTGTTTGTCCTTTTTTGGGGATTCCTTTCCCGCATCATGTGCTGTGTCGGACTCGCAGGACTACACCATTGACCTCAAGGTGTTGGGTATGCAAAGCAGCACATAAGACCATATGCACCATTTACTAAGCCACTTGTTCACGTCGTTGCAGACGCGTGCCCTGCGCGGAGAGGCTTGTGGCCCAATGATTCTTGACGCGTTGATCAAGATCAAGGATGAGGCCCTTTTGATGCGAGCAGAAGCGCGTTGTGTCACATTGGCTCTTTCTGGGATGGCGAGGTCGACACCACGCTCACCTTCCGCAGGCCTGTTTCAACGGCCGCTGCCGAAAGAGATCACAGCAAATTCCAATCGTCTTGCGTGATCCTGCCGTCCGCACAGATCCTGCCGCGAGGGCATCTGCGGCTCTTGCGCTGGGTTCTCAGCAAGTTTCATGCGAGTAGGAGTTCTTGCGCGGGAGATCGCGGAAGGCCATGAACATCAACGGGAAGAACGGCCTGGCGTGTTTGCTCTACATCGAGCCCAGCCCCGCTGCCATCGAGATTCAGCCCCTGCCGCACACCTATGTCGTGAAGGAGCGAGAGCGAGAGCATGAGAGCGCATGAGAGCACTGGAGTGCCTGTGTCCACCTTGAGTTGTGCAGGACCTTGTGCCCGACCTCACGAACTTCTACAATCAGTGGGCTTTTGGATAGGGTAGGACCCCAATGGAAGGATGCTCACGTGACCCTGCCAGGTACAAGTCAATCGAGCCCTGGCTGAAGCGGAAGGAGAGACAAGAAGCGACTGGAAAAAACAAGAAGCACTAGATTGCAACTGCGGCAGGACACGAAGGCCAAGGGTGAGAAGGACTCCGAGTCGTCAATGTGGTGCGAAGTTATCGCTGGGCATGCGCTCCTGGAAATAGTGGGAGGAAGAAGTTGCAGTCTTTGGCCTAGGCATTACAGCATTCCCAATGCACTACACTAGTAAACAAATCCACTGAGTCCGTGCCCCAGGTGTAGCTCTGTAGCCGTGCTCCCTGCTGTCAGGAGTACTTCCAGAGCCGCGAGGACCAGCTGAAAACCCTCCGTCCTCTGCCGCTACAGCTTGGCTACTGCTGTTGCTCGTCTGCGGCTGCGGCTACTGTTTTAGTTACTTAGTTTTAGTCGTTGTCGTCGTAGTAATAGTTGTCGTAGTAGTAGTAGTAGTAGTAGTAGTAGTAGTAGTAGTAGTATTTAGTAGTAGTAGTAGTAGTAGTAGTAGTAGTAGTAGTGGTATAGTGGTAGTCGTAGCCACAGTAGAAATAGCAGCAGCAGCAGCCGTCGTCGTCGTCGTCGTCGTCGTCGTCGTCGTGGTCGTGGTCGTGGTCGTCGTCGTCGTCGTCGTCGTCGTCGTCGTCGTCGTCGTAGTCGTAGTCAACGTCGTAGTAGTATTAGTAACTAGTTCTAGCTAGTATACTACTACCTACTACTCCTGCTCCTACTCCTACTCCTACTGC